CAAATCAGTTATTCTATGAAGTTGACCAAAAATCTGCATATGGTGCTCCTTGAATAGTAAAGGGTTGTGCTTTCTTATTAGACCTTGAAGGTGTAAAACCCCATATGTTTACTTAATATATTAATATACTTTGTTTTAGTGATTCTTCTATATGTAATGACTTAAGAATAAACCATAATATATATATTAAAATCGTAAGGATATCACCTATAGTAGTTCGAAGGAAAATAGAAATTTAATGTTCCAGTGTGAATTTATTTTAGTTTGAATAAATCATAAAAAGCAATGTTTTTTAGGTTAAAATAAACATTAAAATGAATCCGGAACATCGAAAAACCTTAGGGTAGTCGTACGGATCAAATTGGAGATTTTCTAGTGGCAAAAACTGTAATTTTGAAAAAAAACTCAAAATTCAGGCCATGAACAGTGATGTCGCGGATTGCTGTGTTTAAAACACAGAAACCAGCCCATTTCCTTCCATTTTTTCTCACATCTCTCACCCCCAAACCCCTTAGCACCCTTGGGAAGATAGAGGAAAGGAGGAAAGGGAGAAAGGAGGTCATTAGAGCTTGGGTTTGTGGTTTGAAACTTTGATTCAAGGTAGGGGTTTTTCTTCCATGCTTGTCCATTGAGGCTAAGGCTAATATATATATATATGTTTTGACTCATACTTGTATGTATTTGCTAGGAATTCCTTGTTTCTTGGTTTTCTTGCAATTATGACATGTCTTAAACAAAGTTAGGATTGATTACCCATGAAACTTCTTTTATAGCTTTAAAACCCTAGTTTTTGGGGAAATATGGAATTCTCTTTCTACATTTGCTCAAGCTTGGTTTTGAGAACTTTAGTGCTTTGTGTGAGTAATGAAAATGATGTGGTGGTGATCTCTTGTATTTTCCTAATTGTTTATTGAAATTGCCTCATAATGGATTTGTGGATCTTTGGAAATTTGCTTGTAAATTGGAGATTTATGGAATCCTTGGTTATGTGTGATGATTGTTGGGATGATGTGATCTTGTATGGTTGTTGGAATGAACATGGATGAGAGGTTCCTTGTTAGGATGCTCATTCCATCTCAAGAGGTTCCTTGTAAGGATGCTTGAGAAACCAAATCTTGAGGGTGAGAGGTTCCTTGTAAGGATGCTCACACCAAAAGAGGACAGTATGTGATTTTCTCAAGAGGTTCCTTGTAAGGATGCTTGAGAAACCAAATCTTGAGGGTGAGAGGTTCCTTGTAAGGATGCTCCCGTTAGAGAGGACAATATGATATCATGTGTGAGAAATGATTTATATTTTGGTAATGGATGTTTATTAGCACTTAGTTGAAATTGCTCCTTTCTATTACTATTGTTACTTAAACTTGAGATTCGTGCCAAAGGAAATATAATAATCGATGGTGGAATAAGCGTTCCTTTTTGTATTATGGCGTTACTATTGCATTTCCCACAAGAGCTTGTGGAGGTATGGGACTTTACAAGAACTTGTTGGAAATGGTTATGGTTGCTCATTGTGACTTGGGTTTACTGTTCATTTAAATTATTGCGAATGTTTAAACTTGAGATCTGTTTCAAATGTCACGGTTTTACTTCAAATGTTATATGATATTTTGAAAAATAAGACCGAACTGTTTTACTTGTTTTCTAAACCTTGTATGAGTATGGAAGGAATGTTGCTACAGAGCTTAGTGCTCATCCCCTACAAATAATATCTTTTCAGATTTCGTCTATGAGGAGGAGTTACAAGTAGATGAACCAGTGCATGGGGAAGCTCCCCTAGAGGGGAACGGGGGTCCTGAACTGGATGCCTAGAGTTATATTTCTTTTGTACTAGACTAGAGAGTTTATTTTGAAATCATGTAAAGTCTAGTATTTTGTTATTTAACTGCAAGTGTAATTTAATTCTTTTGGGAATATATTTGTCATACTTGGCCTATTCTTTTGGGATGACATTGTGGATATGGCATATGATGAATGAAAGTTTATTTTATGATGGATAAATAGACCCGGTGTGGTCAATAGTTATGCATATGTGGACCCGGTGTGGTCAATTGTAATATAATTGTACAGGTTGTGTTTTGGGTAAAGCTTCCCGTACAAAGGAGACTCTGCCCAAATTTTGTTAAAATATGAATGGTTAATGAATGAACTTTCGTCGTGATGAATTTACGTAATGCTCTCATGGGGTGAATGGTTTTTAGAATGTAATGTCACCCAAGGGGGTTTTTGGGGCATTACAAGTTTTGGATTTGTGATTTGATCTGTGTTGTTTTTTGGGATAGGAGTTCTAGATTTTTGTTTGTCGACAGTCTCTTACTCACCGCCATCTTTGTTGAATTTTTTGGTCTAAAGTTCACTTGCTTTGATTTTTTTCTTCCAGTTTTACATTTGCCAATTCATTAGTGGATTTCTACAAATGTATATATGTGCTATAGGTTTACTGGATGCAAAGGTTAGCAATTGGAAACAGCCCCAAAGATTGGGCGACACTAGTTATTTAAGGAAGCAAGGCCAAACCCTCCTGACAAATTTTGTCCAAGCTACGTCTTTCGGGCATGAAGACCTCAGTTTGACCTCTTCCAGCCAATGTTCAAGATTAGCCGATGCTTCTGATACAAAAAAAAAAAAGAGAGAGAAAAGAAAAGAAAAGAAAAGAGTAGGAGGATTCTTTGTTTTGATTTTCATATCACCCAAGAAAAGCCCCAACAAGATAAAAAGGTATACAAATGTCAAAGTTAATACTGCTTTCTTGATCTCTTTATATCACTCATGGCACAACAAAATATGATTATTTTCTATTACTGATCAATTATTTCAAATCAAGATTCACAATCATTTTTTCGATTTTGTTATAAATTGTTGATAGAAGAACATGCTAATATGCTATCATTGCTAGTTACTGTCTAAGTTCAACTATAACTTGGGTCGCTTCAAAGTGGAAGTCTTTTTTGTTTTTTTTAGGATCATGGATGCCTTCATTGGAATTGCTTTGTTTATTACAAAAGAAACTGAAATTATTATTGTTAGATAGTCGCTCAAAAGCATTCTAACTTCATAGTGCAAGTCTTCTAATACAGTGTAACCTATGCTAGAAAAATGATACTTTCATGGTAGTCTCCAAATCTTCATTGGGAAAAAAAAAGCACTAAAGGGTAATAACGTTGTTTGCTTTGTTGCTAGAGGTCGATATCTCTCTATTCGTATTGGTATATTTTGATGTGGTGTACTTAGTTATAGTGGAAGTTTTTACTACTTATATTGCATTTAGGGGTTTTTCATCTGATTTCTTTATATGTTTGGTTTTGCTACATTTTGATTTCTTTGTTAGTTTGTGGACTGAATTTGTATCAGAAAGAGCTATCGACACATTGCCACCAATATCACATGATATTTTTCTATTTCTCCTGTCCAACATCAAGAGGGATTTCTTTTTTTTTTTTCTTTTGCTCTTCTTTATCATTTTTTTGGTTAAAGTGCAGTAACATTCGACATTTGTGTGTTCCTCGCAGTGAGTGGATTCTATGTGTACATTTTTTTTTTGGGATTAAAGTTCTTTGAGTATGATTTTTGAATATAAAGTAGGTTTATACGCTGATTGTGCCAAAACTACGGCTAAATTTTTGTTCTTTTGGTGTTTGTATGATGATGTTTGAGGACTACACTTGCAAAAGTGGGAGCATTTGCACCACAATATAAACTATGGCTAAATTTTTGTTCTTTTGGTGGTTATATGATATGTTTGAGGACTACACTGGCTTGGTGGCTTCTTGAAAGCAATGGAAAATTGAATTTATTGATTTACATGGTGATGGCATTTATTTTGTTATTTAGGTCTGGGTGGAAAATGTTAAGGTTGATTTGATGGTAACTATATCACATGCATCATAAGTAATTTAATCATCTTTTGCACGATGCTACCATAATATGGTTTTTGCTATTCAGGGGCGATCATTTCCATTACTAGCATGGATGGAATGGAGATATTTATATTGGAATGGGTGAGTTGGATTTTTCAATAGCTTCCAGCTTGAACGAAATGGACGTGAGACTCGGATTCTGATACCTTTTTGTGGTGGTATAAGGCTAGCATAATATTTTTTGTTAAAAGACAATGAGTTCTAATTTTAGTTATTCTCTTGAGGCCCTTTACGCACATTAATATTCAGTGTTTGTTTATTTCTAATGTGTTTATGTTAAGTGTTTGATTGTTTCGTTTTTAAGAACAATGTAAGTTTTTTTTTTTTTTTAAATTGCACGGATTATGGGGACAGTTTAGGCTTTCAGCTTAGTACACGTCCGAGTTCAGTGCTTAATTATTTCGTGCCCAAATTTAGTGTTCGATGGTTTTTGAATTGCACCGTACTTTCAGGCACGGGTTATCCATAGTATATAATAAAATAGAATGATTTTGAATCTAATAGATAAAAGAACAACTTAAATTATCTTGTAACCAAAAAAGGCATCATCAGACAAATGATGCTATCCCAAACCCTCGAGCTATTAGTATCTCATATCATTTCAATCCCACATTCTGCATTAACTATTAAATTCTTTTAACTGCCCAAAACTTACTTTCCCAAATTAACATCCATAAATTTATTCTTTCACTTACATTACACAAATGAGTTTTTTCCCAAATTCAGTCTCTCCAAAAATTTTATTCTTAAACCCAATCAATTTTAAACTTATTTTTCAAACTCAGTCCTTTTTTAAAAATGTCAATCCAAATGACGTCTTCATAGGTTAAAACGTCATTTGAAAGGATGGTTTTAAACTAATTTTTTTTTTATTAAAAATGTCATTCAAAATAATATTTTTAAAAACGTCATGATATTTTTTAAAACAAATTTTCATACGAAAAGTAACAGCCGTTAAAAAAATAATAATGAGAGTTGTTAAAAACGTCATTGTGATTGACGTTATCTAACCCTTATGTTCCGCACCCAACTTTTCCAAATTACAAAAATCCTAATCTAAACTAAACTGATCAATTTATCCAACCTCTACGCTCTACACCTCCAACAAAGATTACTCCAGTGCAGACTTTTACCGCCGACGAAGATCACTCCGGCGCTGGACCCTACCTCTGACGAAGACACTCCGCCGACGAAGAACCACTCCTCCGGCGAAAGATCTGAGGTTTGAGAAGGAGTTCGATGAAGGACCACTCCTCCGACGAAAGTCTGGATTGCTATGAGAAAACCAAGAAATTTAATACTTTGTTTACTGCACAGGCATAAGAGGAGAGGTATAAAAACAAAGGAGCATATATTGTTTCTGGAACCTCCTGATTTTTATACTCCACAGTTCCATAGTTTTGAAGCAATTACCCCAAGACCAAAGGTAAGCGGTGCTACTCTTGTCTCAGATTGTGCGATGCTACTCTTATCTAGTCTAGGAAAGATGCTACTCTGACTTCAATTTCTCATGCAGAAATTTTAAGAAATCTTTGATCTGCATAAAATACATGGCATGTAAGGAAAAACGATCCCATTAATTTGGTAAAGAGGTTCTAGATAAATGTCATTGGAAATGTGTAAATAAATATATCTTTGATACGAGGTCAAAAGCTAGGCTTAATGTTGCCATTGTGTTTTTAAGCATTCGCATCAAAGAAGCTCTATATACTGGATGTAACATACGGAGCAACAATGATTCATTAGACACAAATAACAATCAACCCTGGAAAGATTGCATTCTTAACTGAGTTTTGACGTAGTAATCGTGCTTAATTGGTCGAGTTTAGTCTTGCTTTAGTTACTTCATTGAGGGAAATTTTAAGCATTCATAGTGTTTGATGCCATGATTGAGTGAAATAGATTTACTTCTGATGGGACTCTTCTGAAATGCCCTATGATGAAGACACGTGTCCTCGGTTATGATAAAACACTGTTGCTTGAATCAAGCACCATCGGCGAACGAATGTCCTTGCCCCCGAGGTACCCTCATATAGGATCATGCATTCAGTATATTATACACCCAACACGTGTCCTCGGTCACCTATGTACCTCGGGTCGCATACCTCTCTCGGTCCCCGAGATGAGCCTTTCCTCGGTGCCGAGAGTTACTCTGTCCTGGACGCTTTCTTCTACTCCAAGATAAGCTATTGACGTATAGGTCACTAGCCTAGGCTAGTCTAGACTGCTCATTATGACCTCGTCTTACACAAGTAATGTCAGAACATACTGGAATGCAGAGGTCACAGCCAATAGGGGATGGACGCGAGGCAAATGATGTCACATCAGAGACAGACAAACTGCACGCCGTTACTGACACACTGCTTGGGAAAGCAAACAATTAATTGCACCCTTCTGTTGATGAGACCGCATTTAATGCGGTAAGGCTCGAAAATGAAAGGCAATAAATGCTCCTATTACAGAGCATTTATTGCATCCTCCCCGAGAGGAGCATATTGTACCGTCGGCATCCCGACGACTGAGCATTGATTGCTCGGGACCCCGAGCAGTCAATTAGAGAAGAAATTCCTCATCAGAATCAATGCACACGCTACCTGTGCCTAATGATCACCTGCTGACCACACTAACAGCAATCATGAGCCTTTAAGGTATAAATACTCCTTGCAAAAGGCTAAGCGGGTATGCAACAACAAGCTCTTTACTACAATCCATTTTTCTCAGTGTTTTCTCCTTCCCTTCTCTCACTCAAAGACT